TATTTTCAAATAGATTTTTTTTTTTTTTTTGCCGTGGGAAGAAAATGATTTTTATACTGATCTTCAATCTTTTTTTTAGGTCTAAAAAGTATTTATAGGCCCGGGTGGATCGGGCCATGATCATAAATTGTCGGATAACACCATTATACGGCAAATTGACGAATAACGGTAATTTGGCTCAAGCGGACAAATGATCGGCTGGACACGTGCCGCTTCGCGGCACGTGCCAGCCAATCATTTGCCCGCTTGAGCCAAATTACCGTTATTCGCCAATTTTTGCCGTATAATGTATACTTATTCGATTTACAGTATCAGAATTACCAAAATTCAAGTTTAATATGTATAATGTTGAGAAACAAAATAAAACTTACTTGGATATGATGAACGACAGAGAGAGTTTGTCGTACAGGAAACTTTCCCTTATCCATACCACATCTCAAACATTAGAATTTACGAAAGACCAATTGAAGTTGATTGAATCCGAAAACATGTTGAATTGGTCTATTGCCGTGTCAGACAGTCTTAAATCAAAATCTAGATTATTAGCGATATCTTGTATAAGCCGTCACGACATGACACCCGAAAGTGAAGACCAAGACAAGACACCCAAGAGTGAAGACCATTATCATGGATTTGTCGTCGCTTACTCTATTAATATGGATTATTTAATTTATACGGAACCACAATTTAAGGTTAGCGACTATGGTGGAATTGTTAAATTGTTTTCCAACCATGAAAATATTGATGGTTCTAACAATGATAATATAAAAAAGATTGATGGATGTTTTCTTGTGATTTTAAATGTCACTGGGATCTATAAGTATCACTTTGAGCACTTTGATCATAAACCTACTAAGATTCGAAAGCTAAGATATCCGAAAAGAATAAATAATGCTTTAAAATATAATATGTACAAGATTATATATCTTTCAGTGCCTAATGTTGGCGAGGGCGAGTTTTATAGAAGATATATTCTAAAATGTTTATATAAGCACTATTTTTTCATAGATACTACACATGAGGGTGCTTCATACATGGAACTTTATGATTTAAAAACTGATCAATTAGTAAATACCTTTCGAAGAGAGAATTCAAATAGGGTGAGTTACATAGTAAATACCTTTCGAAGAGAGAATTTAAATATGATAAATTACATAGCTGACGTTCCAGGTGTTTTTGCAATATCAAATAATAACAAATTTTTGGCCTATAAATCTGGAAAGTGTGTCAAATTATATTTAATTGAATGTGGTCTTGAGATAGCATCTATAATTCTTGAGGATGATGAATTGTTATTTGATAATTATTTCATGCTTTTTTTTAATGATGACGAAAAGTTATTGGTATATCAGTCAGAAAATAAATGGTCTATCTGGGATATTTTTGGCTCAGTACAAGAATCAATTAAACTCGAAAATCATTGCGGGTTTGAGTTTGGATTTTATCCTCGAGGTATTTTTGATAAGACTAATTATTATCAGATGGAGCGATCAAATTCACTCATAGTTGTTAACAACAACAACAAATTAACAATTTATGATGACTTAATCTTAGATAAATATAATTTAAAGAAATCTGGCGACAAATTTGCTTGGAAGACTTTATCGCTAGCCCAGCTAGACCGCAAAAAGTTAAACTCATTTTATCACATAATTGAGCCTTGGGCTCCGAATCTCGATCATAGTCGTCCACGATACTTTGTTCATCTTGATGGAAAAAACAAAATTCCACTTTTGATTGGAGGCAGTACGATTCAAGTTTGGTACGATCGAAATGAAAAAAGAACTCTTGAATTCATTATGGTGATCAGGGATGTGAATAGTGATGTAAATAATTCTATGGATGATAATATGAATGAGGTTAAAAAAATAGAATATGCAATTAATAGGTTCAAAATATTAATTCAACATAAAAATTCCCCAATTGAAATGGGGATGAAAATGATGTAATCAAGGCCGTAATAGAAGCTTGTCACACGCTTAAATACTTATATTTTGTGTCTCATAAAGACACTATGGTTGGCTCTGATGGATACGATAATCGCATTCACTTATACAAAGAAATAGTCAAGCAAACACGAAATATTATTATAAGATTTATTAAATTATACCCAACTTCTTGGCGGTTATTGGACTTTCTCTTTGATTTAATGAGCATTCTTATTGATGCGAGAGAATATTCACTTATAAAATACATATTATTTGGCGAAGAACATGATGAAGGCGATCCTAAAAATTACAATTTTAAAATCCAACAAGGTGAATTTATATTACATGAAAAATCACTTCACATGCCACAATATTATTCATGGACAGGTGAAGAAAATACTATTTCCAAAGCATTTTCAAGTTCGTATGTTTACTTTGAATTAGTAAATTGTAAATGTACTGTATTTTAGATGTTAATTTATTATCCTTATTAGATGAACATCCGGTCTTACTAGGATTGTTTTTAGAATATTATTCTAATAAGGCAGAAAAAGAGATCGGATGGATGATTACTGTTACCGACATTATACCGAAATTACTGGCATATAGAAATAAGAAGAGAGAAAATAAAAGTGGTCAGTTATAATACTACCATGCTTAACTGTTAATCTATGTATCAATCATCTCAAATATTTATCTTTTTCATGCAGAATTTTATAAGTATTATGTTCAATTATTATTTTATAAATCTTGCTTTTGTAATAATGAGTTGGATCTATCTCTTTTTGAATTTCTTGAGATTAAACCAAGCATAAATAATTCTTTGAAAGTCTTTATACCTATAACACAATTGATTCCACAAGACTCTAATTTGGAAATAAAAACGATTAGGTAAGACGCCTGTGATGTTATCATTGTTTTGATTTTATTAATTCCAATTTAAAATTTAAATATAGCAATAATATAATTCCTGATATTAGAGCGGTACCTTTAATCAATTTCACAAGTAGAAAAGATAAAAGCTTATCGCTGGGTAAAAGAGAAAGCATATTAGCGAATATTATGGGCATTTTCAAATTTATAATTTTTCCTGGCAAATATTCATATCGGGAAGAGTACTCTCCTTTTCTTGACCTCATAGAAAACCTTGAAACTGTTGAAAATAGCGATGCTTTCTATTATAACCCATCCATGGAAGCCACCATGAATTTTGTGTGGTACACGTCCAAATCATATTGGCATCAAACCTTGTTTATATTTGTATTATATTTTTTAACTTATTCGATTATTTCTTGGATATATATCGCACACGTTCAAGTTATTGGACTTTTTCAATATATGTCGGTTATGAACATAGTATTATTTTTCTATTTAGCTTATTATCATATCATAATTGAATTTAACCAATGGCTTCGTAAAGTACTGAGATATTATGATGATCCTTTTAATTATGTAGACATTGTTACGTATTTTTTGACGGTCTCTGTTTCTCTTTATATTTTGGTTCATTATTACACTTTTGAGGATGGATTTAAATATGCTGAAAGCAGTCTATCTATGTCATTTATTGTTTTCATAAGCATTTTAGGTATTTGGTTTGAACTTGTAAGTATATGATTTATTATGATTTATTTCTGCCACATTTTATAAAACGGACTTTTTGGCTACTTATTATACTTATCTTTTTTATTCGATGTTGTCAGATTTTATTATTACGTATTTTTCCAGGTACTATAGTATATACGTATTAATCATATATTTTGGTTTAAGTTTGCACAAGCCCACATACATATACATTGATTTTAGGTTTCGCACATTACCTAAATATACTTTACAATATTGTTATTTCTTTACGATTGTTTTTATTATTTTTTGCTTTAACCATAATTGCAATGGTAAATTTATTATTATTTATTCATATTATTCATTTAATCGTACATATGCCCAATTCTTTACTTTATACCTTTTCTCAGGGGCATGCATTGTAAGTTTATGATTTAGATATGTACATGACTAAAGATTCTTAAATTTTAAATTTGTTTTAACTTGTATAATATAAATAGATTTATTTTTCTTGGATATGCATCATATATTGGATTAAGTCAATCTCCAACAACATATGAGATTTCTAATGGAAGTGATGTGATTTATACTATGGCTGGAGAGGAACCAGTTAACTCATTTTCAAATCTTTTTAGTGCTATAATTGCAGCATATAATTGGGATTCAATTTCATTAGATGCTTGGGGTTTTTGGCCTCTCGTCATAATCGGTGTGATTGGAAATCTTGCTTTTGTCATTATATTACAAAATGTATATTATTTTGCAAAAATATTATTTCTTGATTTTAACATTAATAATAATCTCTAACAATTCAAACTTATTAAAAGTTCTGCTTTTGAAAATGCTGATAAAGATGGAAAACGTGCTGTACTCAAGTATCAAAGAGATTTTATTTCTTATTATGCATTTCTTGAACGTTCTGCTTTTACCGCGATACACAGTGATTTTGATTCCAAGTTTAAGGTTGGATTAGACATGAAGTATATATGTTTTTATAATGAATTATCTATTACAAAGTCATGGAATGAGAAATCCCAATCATGGAAATCAAATCCAATATATATACATGCTGAAAGTCAAATACAAACAGATTTCGAAGTTACAATCGATAAAGAAAATATTAACTTTATTTGGGCCCCAGAAAAAAAACCAAAAAGCAAAATAGAAGGATATTAAATCCAAATTATTAGATACACTTAAATGCTTTTGTTTACCCAGCAACTTAACTTAATAAAGGATACTAGCAAGACAGCAAAGTGAAATATATATATATATATATATATTATTATATAACATATTATTATAAATAGATTTTTTACAACTAAAAAATATATAAAAAATATAAGAAGCAATATATTTGTAGTTATAGTTACTGCATAAAAGCCAATTAAATTTAAGGATCAGGTATAATATAATACAATCAAGAAAATTCAAAATAAATATTCATTTGTTAAAATTGTCAAAAATCAATTATAACTCAAAATTGAGTATATGAAACTACTTTTGGGATTTTAACAAAAAAATTCTTTGCTAAATTTTGCATATAATCTTTACTTTATCCTAACTCTAACTAACAAAAAAAGAGTTATTTTAGTTATAGCTATAGTGGTTTATAGTTACAAATATATTGTTATAGAATAAGTTTTCTTAATTTCTTATTATTAATATTATTAGTATTATTATTAGAATATATTATTGTGAGGGTATGGCGACTTAGTGAAGTGGTGAAGTTGTCGCACCCCCAAGTGGTTGAGTACAAGTTCAATTCCCACTGAAGACAAAAATTGAATTTCAAAAAATGGATTCAGTAACTATTGTTATGGCCAGGAAAACTCGAGACCCTGTAACTGTGATCATATCAATTCATCGGAACTGGGAGATCTCGAGGCATTTGTATAATATATGAGTTATACAAATAGATCTTTGGATCGCAGAAAGCAACAGAGCCAATATGATGATAGAGCATTCATTTTGCAAGTCTCGAATAGAGAGGTAGCACAGATCTTTGATGATACTACATAAAGGATTTTTAGCAAAAGAAGTGGTAAAACTGAATGAGACTGAAGTGTTTAGCAAGACACTTCACCAACCAGGCTGCTGAAGAAGTAACCAGAAGAAAAGAACCCAACCGTGGAGACCAGAAGCAGGTCATAGCCTTCTGGACTATCTAAATTAGTTGTTTGGAGTAGTTGAAAATATTGTAGATAGTCTGTAATATGTGTACTAAGGTTTGGATAAACTTTATAAGAGCAGAAGTAGATTGTGTAGTAGCAACTAGGCTATAGTATTCAATATGGAAACTAGAATACAAGTAGTAGGCCTTGGCTCATGCATATCAACCAAAAACTAAGTCAGCTAGATTGTAGGTACAGAAGATTCTAGCAGGTTTGCCTCGAGGATAAAGAGTAAAGAGCCTGTTTTAAAGTTCTAAGTTAGTATCTGAAACTAAAGATTTTCACATTGGATTCTCGCTTGATTAATAAAGTAACTATATAGACGCAGAAGTTTTAAATAGATAACCCTCTAGTCGGGTTATAGATATAACATCTAGTATAGAACTTAGTAATAAGCAAACTATTTAAATAGACAACCAAAAATTGTACATGTGGCTAGTTGTACTCTCTAAATATATATATAGTATGAAAATCATACTGTAAAAATTATAACTATAACTAAATAAAGAAACACAACAGAGAGGTCACCTTAATATCAAAAAAAAAAGAATATATTATTGTATTTTAAGTAGCTTTGTATAGTATTAGAAACTGATAAATAGTTACTATTTCTACTATTTTTACTATTTTTATTATTTTAACTATTTTAACTATTTCTACTATTTTACCTTTTTTACCATTTTTGCCATTTTTACTATTTTTACTTTTTCTACTATTTATACTATTTCTATTATTTTTTATTATTTTTATTAATTTTATAATTTAAAAAAGTTATATAAACTTTGATATTTTTTTTATCAGATAGACTCAAATATTCTTTCTAAATATAGGCATTCTTTAGTTATAGAAATATTTTTTCTTGTAATTAAAGTCTTATACTTTTTTTTTAAAAAACTATTAGCAATCTTACTAGTATCTTATTATTAGATCAAAGTATACATATTATAACTATTTAAACTTAAAATTTGATATTATTCAGCTATTTTTAATAAATATTTAAATACAGTTTGCTAAACTGATTAAGGCTATTGCTTATACTAGGGTTATATTAAACTAGCTAGTAAAATTATAACTAGATAGTTTTGATTTAAAAGAATTTTGAGCTATGTTCAGTTAGCAATTATTTTCTACTACACTATCTTTCTCTTTAAAAAAATAATCTACTTCTAGTTCTATTTTAATATTTTTATTTTCTACTATAATATTATTGCCAAAATTCTTTTAATTATATTTAAGCTTTCTTCTTTTTTTCTTCTAATTCATTCTGTTCTTTCTAGTAGATGACTTGGTTTTCAGGAGTTTTTTTGTTTTTTATTTATATTTTTCCTTTTGTTTTATAGCTCTATATATTTTCTTCTTTTTCAAAACAATTATACTAAAAGTTTTCTCTAAGAGTACTCTTCTATAAGTTTTTTTTTTGAATTTTTTTGAAGCTATTCCTAGTCTTTGGTTTCTAGTTCTTGCTTAATCTATTTAAGCCTTCTTTTTTCTTTTTTAAGATTCTAGTATCTTCTTTTCTTCTTTTTTTTGAGCCTAGCATTTTTTTTAGCAACTTCTCTTGCTTTTTAATATATTCTTCATGATTTTTAAGCAGTTCCAATAAGGTTCTTTCTGCTATTTTCAATAATATATCTTTCTTTTTCCTTCTTCAATTCTTAACTCTTACTATTTTTCTTACTATTATAACTTGAATTCTATTTTCTCTAGTAGCTATATCAAATTTGGTTTGTTAGATCTATTTATTAATAACTTTTTTTTTTTTTTAATTTTAATATTGTTTTGTATACTTTCTCTGCTTGATAGATATATAGTCTCTATTATCTAGTCTATTATATCTTTTTGTGAGTTCTTGACTTGCATATTATTGAGATTTTTATTTTCTACTAGAGTTGTTATTAATACTCTTGGTCTTAATTCTTTCACTATTTTGTTCAGAGTTTCTTTTTTTATAAGGTCATCTGTATTTTAACTATTGATTCATTCTTCAGGTATCTTTTTCCTTTTGTAAATTTTTTGTTAACTCTGTTTTAATACTTTCTTTTTTTGCTAGAATTATATTTTCTATTTTTCTACTTTGATTTTTTCTCTTTTTATATATTACTCTACTGCAAAGGTTTTGATGAATACTGAGAAATGCTGTATTAAAGATTTGAGTGCTGTCTTGTTAAACTGTATTTGTTACTTTTTTCTCTATTTTTTTAATCTCTTGAACCATCTAAGCTCTACTTTTGACTTTATATAATTAGCAGCTTGTTTTTTTTGTTAGCAGTATTCTTTTGTTTTTTTTTTTTGAACTTATATCTTTTTTTTCTTTTCTGATTCTTTTTTTCTTTATATTAATTTGTTGTAACAATTTTGACAGATTTCTTGAATTGTTGTATTAGTATCTTTAATGCTATTTTGTTGTACTATTTTGTTAATTTTTTTTGTTCTTGAAGTCTCTTACTATAATCTAATTCTAATTTTGGCTCTATTTTTTAGCAACTTGTTTTTTTCTATTTTTACTATCTATCTTATTCTCTTAGCTATATCCAACTTAACTGTAATCTTGTTTATTTCTTTTTCAATGATGTATTTAATTAGATTTTTTTCATATTGCTTTTTGATATTTGTAGTTATTTCTTTTTCTGAGTGCAAGTTCTGTATACAGTATTTTAGTTCTTTTCTATTATATTGCTACAATTTTTTGTAAAGTTTATCTACTAGTACTTCTGCTTCTTCTTCTGTAATAAACTTTTTTCAGAATATTTTACAATATTTATTCTATTAAAATATCTTCATTTTTGTCAAATATCTCTAATTGTATCTCAAATTCTTCTGATCTAATATATTTTTTCAAAATATTTTGCTAAAGTTTGCTCTATATAATTTGTTGTTTTTTTATTGTTGTTAGATGTTATTGTTTGTTGTGATTGTTTATCACTTTTGTTTATATTTGTTATATAGTTTTAGTATATTTTCTTTGTTTACTCTTTACTATATGTTGTAGTTTTTGTATCATCAAAACAAATTTGTATTACAGTATCAAAGCTGATTTCAAAATTGTGCAAAATGCAAAAAAATATTGATAATTTTTATATTTTTCTATATCTTTGTTATTTTTATTCTTTTTACTTAAGCTTCCTAAAAAACTAAGTATTTTTTATGGTTTTCTTCCTTTTTTTAGAGCTGTAAATAGAAATAAAAATCAGCTATATGATTTAGTTAACTAAATCAACTAAATATAGTAATTTATATATAAATTTTTTAGTTGACTAAATTGATTTCTATCCCTAGCTATAAGTCTAGTTTTTTTAGTAATCTTTATATTTATTTGTAGTTTTTGTTAATTTTTGTTTCTGTAAATTTGTATATAGAAGGTCAGTAAAAAAGTTAAATCTGATTGATATAATTAAAGCCTTATACTGTAAATAAAAAATATTTTGTTTAACTAAATACTTTTATGAAATGCCTTTAGTTATGTTATATTTATAGCCATATACTATATTACTTGTACTATATTTAAAGCTACAGTTTACTTATAATATTTTAGTATCTTCTAGTATAAAAGAAAAATTTTGCCAGTTTATAAGAGAAACTCTACCTCTTGAAATTAAAAATTCTTGCTCTCTAAAATAAACTCTCTTTTTTGAAAAAATCTCTTGCCAAATCAAACTATTAAAAAAATCTTTATTTATAACCCTTCTCTTTTTACTATTATTCCTAAATAATAGTTTTTTTTAGAAGTTCTGACAAATTAAAAGAAATTTGTTTAGAAGAATATACAGAACACCCCTGCTTTTGTAGCAATCTTGAAGTTAGCAGCTTACTGTAACTCTTAAATAAGACTTAAAACAAATATTCTATAAGCCAAAGTATAGATATAAGGATCTATAGCTAGCAGCTTACTGTAAACTTTTATTGAGAATTAAGCATAATTACCTACAGAATTAGATTTTAACCACAACCAGAACCAGACAACTTTTAAATATTACAAACAAGTTACCTTTTATAGTATTATAT